GGCCCGTGAGCCATGGCCGCTGAGCCTGCGCGTCTGGAGCCTGTGCTCCGCAACGGGAGAGGCCACAGCATGAGAGGCCCGAGTACCGCAAAAAAAAAAAAAAACAAAAAAAACAAAAAACTGTAGTTTTTTTGTATATTAAATATACCTCAATAAGGCTGGGGGAAAAAAAGAACTCAGCAGAACTGAGTTGTTGCAACAGAGATCAGATGCCCTGCAAAGCCGAAAATATTTATCAACCCTCAACATTGAGGGTGGAAGACAAAGGTGAAAAAAGAATTAAAGTAAAACAAGAGAGGTGCCATGCATAGCTCAATGGGGCTGGTTGCCATGAGCCCAAGAATTAGATTAACTCAGGTTTGAGCTCCTTAAGTCCAAAAGAAGTTTTTAAAGAAATTTAAATCGGGCTTCCCTGGTGGCGCAGTGGTTGAGAGTCCGCCTGCCGATGCATGGGACCCGGGTTCGTGCCCCGGTCTGAGAGGATCCCACATGCCGCGGAATGGCTGGGCCCGTGAGCCATGGCCGCTGAGCCTGCGCGTCTGGAGCCTGTGCTCCGCAACGGGAGAGGCCACAACAGTGAGAGGCCCACGTACCGCAAAAAAAAAAAAAAAAAAAAATTAAATCACTTGGCCAACCTGTACACAGGATGTGTGTGTGTGTGTGTGTGTGTGTGTAAAGCAATTTGGTAACAGACATCATGGTCCTTAAACAATGCCCTTCCAGGGACTTCCGCAGTCCAGAGGGCCCAAGTTCGATCCCTGGTCCAGGAACTCAGATCCCTGGAAGCCACTTGGCGAGTCCAAAAAAAAAAGGGGGTGGGGGGATGAAGGGTTCCCATAGAAGGATATTTGCATAGCATCTTTGACAGTAAAGAGTCACCCGGCTGTTAAAAAATAAATAGCATGTCCCAAGAATTTTTTTTGGCCACACCTTGCAGCTTTCGGGATCGTAGTTCCCTGATCAGGGATTGAACCCACACCCTCGGCAGTGAAAGCATAGAGTCCTAACCACTGGACCGCCAGGGAATTCCCCCAAGAATTTTTAACAATGTGATGAAATGGCCCTGGGATAATGTTAAATTAAAGAAATCAGAGAGTTTAAATCCTAGCTTTGAAAACTGGGGGCAAATTCCTTTACCTCCCAGTGCCTCAGTTTCCTCATCTGCAAAATGGAGATAAAAACACTACCCACCTCATAGCGGTGCTGGGGGTGTAAATGAATTAAAATACAAAAAGGGCATCAAATAATGCCCTGGCCCATTGTAAGGGCTGCCTAAATGCTTTTAAATATAAAATAAAGCAACACAACAAATTCCATCAGCTATATGTTGCCAGACTTGAAAAATACATGTTATTTTCTGCATTAAAAAAAATCAGAAGGGGGCTTCCCTGGTGGCGCAGTGGTTGAGAATCTGCCTGCCAATGCAGGGGACACGGGTTCGAGCCCTGGTCTGGGAAGATCCCACATGCCGCGGCGCAACTAGGCCCGTGAGCCATAACTGCTGAGCCTGCGCGTCTGGAGCTTGACCTATGTCCCCTGCATTGGCAGGCGGATTCTTATCCACTGCGCCACCAGGGAAGCCCTAAATAAATATTTTTTAAAAATCAGAAGGAAAGAAGCAAAAGTGTTGACAGCAGCTGTGTCTGGGTGGTGGTGGGTTTATGGGGCTTATATTTTGTGTTCTAGATTCGTCTGTACTTTCCAAACCTTCCACAAACAATATGAATTGCTTTCATAGGACTATGTTTCAAACAAGAGCACAAGAAATTTCAAAGCCTTGGAGAGATCTCACGGATGCACGTGCCTGGCTACCCCTTCTCCCACTAATCTCTCTGTGGTGCCTTTGAAAGGTGAGGAGTGGATGAGACTTTATGGGGTCTCCAGGCCTCTGCCTGCCCCACCCACCTTTGCCAGCCTGAGGGGTAGGCTGCCTCTCACCTTCCCTGCCCTTGGCTGCAGCAAGCAAATTCTAGATGTCAGAGAGGCTGGGCTCCTTCCTGCCTCCTCCTCCAGGGATTCCTCCCTGACCTACCCATTGAGCTGACCGACCTAAAAGAACACATGGTCCAAACACTCATCAAGGACTTCCCTGGCCGTCCAGTGGTTAAGACGCCACGCTTCCACTGCAAGGGGCGTGATTTTGATACCTGGTTGGGGAACTAAGATCCCCGCATGCCTTGTGGTGTGGCCAAAAAATAGAAAAACAAATACACAAACAGAAACCGCTTGTCAAGCAGCCACCCGGCTGCTTCTTTCCTTTCACATCTTGGTTCAAAGAGCGACCTACCAGCGCCTGGTACCATACTGACTGAACACTCACACCAACTGATGCATTTAAGATCACACTCATCTGCTGACATCAGGTTGTCAGGACCCCCAATTTGCAAATTTGGCACAGAGAGGTTAAACAGCTTGCTCAAGGGCACAAAGCTAGGGAGCAGGGAAACCAGAATCTGAACACAGGCCGCCACCCCATCCAACCACCACCCACCCCATGCCCATTTTATTTGGTCCAAACGTGTTGTCTGAAATTATTTTTCTTCACGTGTTTTTGGTGGTCTCTTATTTGTTTATCACAGGGGCTTTTGTCTGTCTTGTTCACTGCTGTGTCCCCAGTGCCTGGAAGAGTCTGGCACATAGCAGGCACTCAATAAATGTCTGCCGGATGAGAAGGTATCGAAATGAATTAGCACACACCAGTTCCACCCAAGCAAGGCAGAGATTAGGGCTGGCCGCAGCAAGAAGGAGCTAAGTGAGACACAAAGAACTTTCTCAGGGGCGGTAGCTTGCACAGGGTGGGGACGTTGCTAGGTCTGTGTGTTCTGCAGGCAGAAGGCTCCATGGCTGCCCTGAGAGGCACGTCTGGAATGGAGGTTGCCTCTCAAGAGATCCCGAGGCTGGGCAGGGCGGGGCCTCTGGCTGGGGGCCAGGGTCGCAGGGCTGGGTGTTTGGGATAGACACAGAACAGAAGGGTGGAGTCCAGAGCTGTCCAGGAACAACATGGGGAAGCAAGAAAACACAGCTGGGTCCCTGACCCCCAGCTTGTGCCCTCTGGTCCCTCCATGGGCTCTGGCCACCTGACATTCAAGGCTGGGATGGGGATATGGGCCCCACCTTTGAGCCCTGCTGTAGGTAGGTTCAGAATGGCCTGGGCTTAGATCCTGGCTGTGTGACACAGGGCAAGTGAAGCTTCTCTCCAGGCCTCAGTTTCCCCAGCTATAACAAGAATTGACCTGAAAATCATTAGTAGATGGAGCAACAAGCACTGGCTAAGCACTTACTGTATGCACTAATTCACAAGAGTCTTAGAGGTGGGGGGTCATTATTATGCCACTTCACAGATAAGGAAACTGAGGCCCAGGAAGGTGAAGCTTCTCATTCAGGGTCACACAGTAAGAAGTGAAGTTTGAACTCAGGTTGCCTGGCTGCACAGCCCACCACCTTAACCTCCTCTGTAGGTGAAACACTTATCAGAACCCTCAGAACAAGACTGGTATTCGATAAAGAACAGCTGTTATTATTATGAATCATTCTGGCAGCTCCTCCCAGGGGCCTCAGGATGGCGGTGGTGGGACAGCTGCCATTCTGCACATCCCACATCCCCTTTCCGGGAATGAGGACTCAGCAGTTCCTCCAGGGAGCAGCCCCTTCCTCCCTCAGGACTTGGGTGGGGCTCCTCTACCCCCAGGATCTGGGCCTGGGCAGTAAGATACACAGTGATTAGCTCAGTGATGGGCATATGACCCAAGCCAGCCAAGGAGGGCCACCCGTGGGATTTTTCTTGGTGCTATCTGGATTGAGGGGCTCCCTCCCCACTGAGCTGCAAGGACAGATGCCCGGAGTGGTGGAGCCACCTTTGTCTGCCTGAGAGAGAAGGCTCCAGGGTTCACAGAGGAAGAGAAAGAGGGAGTTAGAGATTCCTGAGGATATCTGAGTACCTGGATCCAGCTACGCCTGAAGCTGTCACTAAGTTACATGGACAACACATTTCCTTTTCATAGTCTGAGACTGGTTTCTGCCAATCAGGGACGACTTTTTGCCCAGCAACCAACAGCCTTGGGGACCCTCCCCCAAATACCTCTTGTTTTCCAGACATTTACAATGCGCTAGACATGAGCACGCATGCTTAGCAGACACCCAATGTCTTCTCATGGTACCTAGAGGTACTGAGTCAGCAGCATAAGTGTCCCCTTTTCACAGATGAGGAGCCCGAGGCTCTGAGAGTAGAAGCACAGGGCTGGGGCTGGACCCCGGCATTCAGAGGAGAAGGAGGGACCCTCCACCATCTGCCCCGCCCACTAAGGCTCACCTGCTGCCCCATCGCAGCTGTGCTCTGTGATGCTGATCTTCTTTACCAGATGGACATTGCTGGTGGATGCAGGGGGTGCTGGGAACACTGTCTCTACCACCTCCTGGCTGCGGAACACAGGGGGGCTCTCGGCCCCGCCGGATGTCGCCAGGGCCCGCAGCCCTGCCCCGTAGGGCTCCAGACTCTGGGCCCGCTGTGCAGGGGCCCCCGCAGCTGTGCTGGCCGCCACCTCTACCTCCCTCGGCCCCTCCACCACCCGGACAGTGTCCACACGGACTGGGCTGTCTGGTGGCGGCCAGGCCTGGGGCTGGAGGTCGGCCTGCCGGGCCTGAGCTGCCTGCAGCTCCTGGAGCGCTTTCTTGAGCTGGGTCTCCAGCACGGCGACCTTAGCGGCAAGGGCTGCCTCCCCGTCGGGCATGCCCAAGTCCCGCTCTCGGACCCAGGTGCCCACGCTCCGGGTCTCGAGCACCACCGGGTCCTCAGGGGGCTCGGGGAGGTCCAGGCAGAGCTCGCTGCGCCCCCGGGCTCCCGCCGGGTGGCCTAGGAATTTCTGGCTCTTGAGCTGCACCGTGAGCTGCCGCTTCTCCTCCTGCAGCACCGACAGCTTCACCTGGAGCACGGGAATCAGTTTCACCTGCTCCTCCAGCTGCCGCAGCTTCCGCAGGGCCCCCGCCATCTGCTCCCGCACGTGGGCCAGGTGCCCAGCACTGGGCGGCACCGGCGTGGACAGTCCCGAACCCCGCGGCGTCGGGGGTGGCAGCCCCACGCCCACCAGTGAGCTTGTCGAGCCAGCCACGCTGGGGGTCAGGGAGCCCAGGCCAGTGGGGGCGGCCGCCTGGTCCTCGAGGCGGCGACGGGCGTCCAGCAGCGTGCGCTCCACGCGCGGGTTGAAGCCGGCGCGGGTCTCCAGGGCGCCGTACTGCGGGTAGAAGCCTCGGCCGCAGTAGGAGTAGGCCGAATGGCGGCTGTCCCCACTGGCGTTGGAGCACAGAGACTCGGTGGACGTCCACCAGGAGCCAGGGCCGCGGGGCAGGGAGCCGAGGCGGGGCCGGCGCTGCACGGCCACCCGCCGTAGCGTGTGGCCCTTCTCGATGTCGTCCACGTACTTGAGAAAGTCCAGGTCCAGGCGGTAGCCGTAGGGCGTCTCCACGGAGTAGGGCAGGTCGGGCTCCTTGGAGGGGAAGGTGGGCGGGGAGGCTGGGCCGGGGGTCCCTGGGGTGGGAGGAAAGGCCAGCGCCTCTGAACACTAAGGTTCCCTCCTCGGGGCAAACTGATGCCCCTGGGAGGGTCAAGGCTTATTTGCCCAAAGGATGGGAGCCCACCGGGTGCTCAACTGCTCAGCTGTGTCTGCGGTCTCCCAGCCTTCCCCGGCCAGGGCAAGGCCCTGTCACCCCCTCAGACCCTCCCAGGGCAGGGCTGTGCCTCCAACCTCCCAACCAAGGCGGGACCCTGTCTCCCCACTCAGACCAACCTCCTTCCCGGGAAGACCCAGTCTCTCCCATCAGACCCTCCAGGGCAGAACCAGGTTGTTCCTCTTCAGGCCCTCAGGGCAGGGCTGCGTCCTACCCTCAGCCTCCTCAAGTAGGGCCCTCTCCCCTCCCCCAGGCCGTGTCTCCCCTCCCCCACCTCCAACCCCAGGGCAGGGCCCTCTTCCCTGTGAGACCCCTGACCTGGGAAGGGGGCTGGCACGTGCAGGACTTGGGCCATCCTCCTGCCTGCAGATGCTCCTCAGGAGTCACTTGGGGGACTGTGAGTCAGACCACCTGCAGCACGGGCTGAGGCTTACCTGGGGAGAGGGTGTGATGAAGCCCCCCCCCCCCCCCC